GCAGCAGCAGCAGCAGCAGCAGCAGCTGGAGCCCAGGCCGCCTCTGGGCAGCTCCCGCGGGAGGCGGGGAGCGGATGGAGCCCGCCGCGCAGGGGCGCAGAGCCGGGCGTCCGGACGACCACCCGCCAGGACGGCGCCGGCGGTCATTGCCCGCTTCTGTGGCGTGAACAGAGCAGGGAGAACGATGAGATCCCCCCCCCCCCCCACGACTCTCCTAGGCTCTCTCCTCTACCCCCCAGTTTCTCAAAGCCCAGTGAACCCAGTATCCCCACTTCCCCTCCTCTGGCTTGGATGACAACATGGGGTCCAGGGCCTGGTCTGGAACAGCGGTTCTCAACCTTCCTAAGCCGCGACCCTTTAATACAGTTCCTCATGTTGTGGTGACCCCCAACCATAAAATGATTTTCGTTGCTCCTTCATAACTGTAATTTTGCTACTGTTATGAATCGTCATGTAAATATCTGATATGCAGGATGTATTTTCATTGTTACAAATTGAACATCATGAAAGCATAGTGATTAATCACAAAAACAATATGTAATTATATATGTGTTTTCCGATGGTCTTAGGCGACCCCTGTGAAAGGGTCCTTCAACCCCCAAAGGGGTCGAGACCCACAGGTTGAGAACCGCTGGTCTAGAAGCCACCGCACCTCCCAACCCTTCGCTTCCTGTTCCCTTTTTGTCTGCCCCTCTCCCCTCGTCAGGGCCGCCCGGGAGGGGTGTGGGTCGGGGGTCAGAAGGGACAGGCCAACGCCCTCCTTAAATGCCCAGGTGGAGAAGGAACCCCAGTGCGCGCGGAGGGGCCTTTTCCACTCACCGTAAAGTAGGGGCTCGGGCCCAGGGCCAGGTGAGGGGTCACACGCCCTCCCCCAGGTCTCCTCTTCCAGCCGGGCCCAGGGCGGGGGTGTGGGAACAGCTAGCCCGAGCCCTTAATCTGCCTAAGCTGATTAGCGCCCCTTAACCAGGCAGGGAGGGGCTGGAGGAGGATGGGGCTTTGGGGGGGCGGGTATCTGTCCTGGGTTCCAGATTCTTTCCCCCAAACCTCCCAACGCCCCGACCACAACCCCAGCATAAAAGAAGCTACAGGCCCCCCATTCAGGCTGCGGCCTCTACCCTGCTCGGCCTGAAAAGTGACGAGATTGTGCCCACGGGCACCTGTGGGCTCTCCGTTCTGGGGTGGGAGTTCTCAGCTCCATTCCCTCCAATCTTCTGTTTCCAGTTTTTTTGTTTTTAAGATATTTTTATTGATTTCAGAGAGGAAGGAAGAGGGGGAGAGAGATAGAAACATCAATGATGAGAGAGAATCATGGATTGGCTGCCTCCTGCAAGTCCCCCAATGGAGATCGAGCCCACAACCCGGGCATGTGCCCTTGATCAGAATCGAACCTGCGACCTTTCAGTTCGCAGGCCGAAGCTCTATCCACTGAGACAAACCAGCTAGGACCTGTTTCCAGTGTTGCCAGTTAAAGGTCAAGCCCCATCTCTTGGCTGGCAAAGTCCGTACCCCAGAGACCAAACCCAAACCAGCCCACGTGCCTACCTTCTCTTGCCTGCCCACAGGGGAGTCTCTGACACCCATCTCTTGGTGCCTAGAAAGCCATGTGCTTGGCCTTGGGAAGGCAGAAGCCCAGGAGGCAGTGGAGGGAACTCTGGCCTTGAGCAGACCTAGGAGGATTCCTCCTTCCTGACTTTGTGACCTTGGGAACATTGCTTAATCTCTCGGAGGTTTGTGTGGAAGTCACCGGTGACAATGAATATCATTTCCTAGATGACAAAAATAAATCAATTTTAAAGAAGAATGTGATGGGCAACTTGCCCTACTACATATCAAAATGTATACAAAGCTATAGTGATTAAGATACTTTATAGTATTGGTTTAGTGATTAACAAATAGACCAATGGGACAGAACGGAAAGCACTGAAAGCAACAACACAGCAAGCCTGGCCGGGTGCTCAGTGGTTAGACCATCGGCCTGCAGATCAAGGGGTCTCGGGTTCAATTCCCAGTCAAGGGCATGTGCCCTGGAGGCAACCAATTGTTGTGTCTCTCTCACATAAATGTTTCTCTCTCTTCCCCCTCCTCCTTTCTCCCTCCTACTCTCTCTAGAAATCAGTAGGAAAAATGTTCTCAGGTGAGGATTTAAAAAAAAAAATGTTGCCCTGACCGGTTTGGCTCAATGGATAGAGCATCGGCCTGCGGACTGAAAGGTCCCAGGTTCGATTCCAGCCAAGGGCATGTACCTTGGTTGTGGGCACATCCCCAGTAGGAGGTGTGCAAGAGGCAGCGGCAGCTGATGGATGTTTCTCTCTCATCGATGTTTCTAACTCTCTATCTTCCTCTCTGTAAAAAATCAATAACATATATTAAAAATAAATAAATAAAAAATTTAAAAACATGCAGCAAAAAATGGAAATTTGATATATGAAGAAATGGATATTTCTTACCAGTGTGGAAAGATTAAGCTATCCCATAAATGGAGCTGATTAATTAGCCAGAGGGGAGGAGGAGGGAGATATAGGATTAGATCTCCATCTCACACCATACAAAATCAATTTCAGGTTAAAAAACATACATAAAAACAAGCAAGGCTTGGTGGTTGAGCATGGACCTATGAACCAGGAGGTCATGGTTTGATTCCCAGTCAGGACACATGCCCGGGTTTCGGGCTCCATCCCCAATGTGGCATGCAGGGGCAGCCAATCAATTCTCTCTCATCATTGATATTTCTCTCTCCCTTCCTCTCTGAAATCCATTTTAAAAAATGAAAAAAAAATTTTTTTAAAGAGTGTTAAGACCTCAGGGGATCCTCTGTATGTTTGAAATATTTTATAATTAAAAAAAATGTTTTGCCCTAGCCAGTTTGCTCAGTGGATAGAGTGTTGGCCTGCGGACTGAAGGGTCCTGGATTCAATTCCGGTCAAGGGCATATGCCCAGGTTGCAGTCTCGATCCCCAGTAGGAGGTGTGCAAGAGGCAGCCGATCAATGATTTTCTCTCATCGTTGGTGTTTCTATCTCTCTCTCTCCCTCTCCCTTTTTCTCTAAAGTCAATAAAAATATATTTTAAAAAATATTTTAATTTTGAGAAAGACAAAATCACATAATCTCACTCATATATGGAATCTAATGAACAAAATAAACTGATGAACAAAATATATCTAGAGACATAGAAGCATGGAACAGACTGTGAAATCTCAGAGGGAAGGGGGGTGAGTGGGTGGGTGGGAAGAGATCAAACAAAGAACTTGTATGCACATATGCATAACCCGTGGACACAGACAATAGGGTGGTGAAGGCCTGGGGGGTGGACAGGAGGCTGACTAGAAGGGGTCATTGGAGGAAAAAAGGGGACATATATAATACTTTTAATAGTAAAGATTTAATTTTCAAAATGTTTTAATTTTTAAATAAAAAATTTTAATTTTTGACCTGTAGTAAAGTCTCAAAATTGATTAGGTATCAATGTTCATTGATATAGTCCTGGGCATCCTACTTTAAGGGTTATTTCCCTTAAATCTCTCCTCTACTGTCACAACTTGGAATTGTGGGTGCTCCACCCAACCCTTCCATTTCACAGATGGTGAGACTGAGGCCCGGAGACTGACTGGGCTTAATCCATAATCTCCTGATTGTCCTCTAGGGTTCGTGAAAGGACAGGTAATGTAGACAGGGATGAGGAGCAGGATTTTTTAAACTTTGTTTTTATAGTAAAACATGTATCATATAACATTTATCATTTTAGGCATTTTATAAGTGTACAGTTCAATGGTATTAAAAATATTCACATGGTTTTGCCACATCACCACTACCCATCTCTAAAACCTTTTCATCATCACAAACCGAAACTCCATACCCAGTAAACAGTAATTTCTCATTTCTCCCTCCCCAGCCCCTGGCACCTACCATTGTACTGTCTCTATGAACTTGACACTCTAGGTTCCTCACATAAGTGGGATCTTGCTTACTATTATTTCACTTAGCATAATGTCGGCAACGTTCATCCATGTTCTAGTGTGTGTCAGAATTCCCTTTCTTTTTAAGGCTGAATTGTATGTCTGTACCACATTTGTTAATCCATTCATCTGTCCATAGCCACCTGAGTTAGTGCCACCTTTTGCCTATTGTGAATAATTTTGCTATGAACATGGGTTGCAAACATCTGTTTGAGTCCCTACTTTAAATTTTTGGGGGGTATATACCTAGCAGTGGAATTGCCGGATCATATAAAAATTCTAATTTTAATTTTTTGAGGACTCTGCCATACTGTTTTTCCACTGCGGCCGAACCATTTTATATTCTAGGGGCGGAATATTTTAAATCCATCCTGGTCCCCATGCCAAGGCCGCACAGCCAGCCACCAGGCGGCCCAGCCCTCCCAGTGACTCAGTTCGGAGCTTGTTTGTGTTTGTTTGTTGCTAAAAACGTGCTGAAGCAAAACAACCCTCTTCCAGAAAGGGCGGGGCCGGCCCTGACAGGAGCAGTCGCTGGGAGTTACCAGAGGTCAGGTTTATATTTAAAGTCCTATAAATAACCCAGCGGCAGGTGGAGCTCCGCCCGCAGGAAGCCCGAAGGTCGTCGTCTCTGTTTCTCTAGAGGGAAAGGGAAATGTCTTTCTTCTGAGATCAGTCCCTCCTCCACCCTCCATAAAGTCAGGAACTGTGGAGTCGACAGAAGGAATTAG